CGTTTGGGATTTCTTTACAATGTATTCAGGAATCGTTTTTTCGGCGCTCTGGGGTCGCGCTTTCGCTGGGGACTTGCTTTCAAACTCAAGAATAGCGCCCTTGCGTTGGAATTCCCCGCAATTTACTCAAGCGCCGCGCTCCCGACACTCAGGCACCCACGAGTCGCGCTCACGTTTAGGACTCCCTACATATTATGTAAAAATCGGGATCTTGCTGCCCGTCGTGGCCCCGTTGCAGCCCTTCGTGGCCTCCTCGCTGCCCTTCGTGGCCCCGTTGCAGCCCTTCGTGGCCCCCTCGCTGCCCTTCGTGGCCCAGTTGCAGCCTCGGCCCCCTCGCTGCCCTTCGTGGCCCCCTTGCAGCCCTTCGTGGCCCCCTCGCTGCCCTTCGTGGGCCCGTCGCTTTGTTTCGTAGCCCCGTTGCAGCCCTTCGTGGCCCCTTCGCTCCCCTTCGTGGCCCCGTTGCAGCCCTTCGTGGCCTCCTCGCTGCCCTTCGTGGCCCCGTTGTAGCCCCTCGAGGCCCCTCGCTGCCCTTCGTGGCCCCGTTGCAGCCCTTCGTGGCCCCCTCGCTGCCCTTCGTGGCCCCGTTGCCGCCCTTCGTGGCCCCCTCGCTGCCCTTCGTGGCCCCGTTGCTGCCCTTCATGGCCCCGTCGTTTTTTTTTCGTGGCCCCACATACGTATGCCCTTCGTGGCCCCCGCTCTTGCGCGACCGTGGTGGCCCCATATGCATGCCTTTCCTGGCCCCGCTGTCGCCCTTCGTGGTCCCGTAGCTGTCCTTCGTGGCCCCGTTGCTGCCCTAAGTGGCCCCGTCCTTGCCCTCCGCGGCCCAATCTACGTATGCCCTTCGTGGCCCCCGCTCGTTCGCGCCCGTCGTGGCCCCATGTGCATGCTCTTCGTGGCCCCTCTGTCGCCCTCTGTGGCCCCCTCGCTGTCCTACGTGGCCCAGTTGCTACCCTCAGTGGCCCCTTCGTTGCCTTCTGTGGCCCCGCATTATCTGCCCTTCGTGGCCCCCGCTCGTTCGCGTTCTTCGTGGCCCCATACGCATTCCTTTCGTGTCCCCGTTGGCGCCCTTCGTGGCCTACTTTGTGCCCTTCGTGGCCTTGCTGTCGTTCTCTCTCTCGCTCTCGCTTTCGCTCGTCGTCGTCGTCGTCGTCGTCGTCGTCGTCGTGGTCGGTCTCCTGTCCGTCCCTCTTGGGGTCGGGCTGCCGCCGATCAGCGCTGCCGCTTGCCAGGCCGACGGTCCGCGGCCGCCCCGCCGTTTGCCGGGGCCCGGCCTGCAGGGAAGAAATATATACCCCCCAACAGGGGTTCAATCGAAGACGAAGAGGACGGTATCGACGGTTAGGGAAATACGCGTTAACGGACATTCGAGACAATCCAAGCGAGCAGTCTTAAACTGATCCTGGCGAAGGACCCAACCATATGAAGTTGTGGGTGCCGCAATTGTGAATATACTCTTCTGAAAAAAGGATCCCTGTGGGGCCACGGAGCGCTGCGCTGGGCGGGGGGGGAACGCATGCGGGCGGTAGCACTGGGGCCGTCGGTGAAGCTCCCTATGAGGCCACGAAGCGCTGCACTGGGAGGGTGAAAGCACCAACTTGGGCGTGTGGGACGTATGCAGGCGGCCCCATTGGGGACTTCGGTTGGGGCTCCACATGGGGCCGCGACGCGTTGTAAAGGGTGGATGAAAATGCCAAATTGGGTGTGGGGGACGCACGCGGGCGGCCCCACTGGGGGCTTCGGTGGGGCTCCTTATGTGGCCACGAGGCGCTGTACTCGGCGGGGAAGATGCCAAATTGGGTGTGGGGGACGCACGCGGGCGGTCCCATTGGAGGCTTCAGTGGAGCTCCCTGTGGTTGACGCTTGCGGGCGGTCCCACTGGGGGCTTCGGTGGAGCTCCCTACGGGGCCACGAAGCGTTGTATTGGGCGGGTGGAAATGCCAAATTGGGCATGGTGGACGCACGCGGGCGGTCCCATTGGGGGCTCCGGTGGAGCTCCCTATGGGGCCATGGAGCGCTGTACTGGGTGGGCGAGACTGCCAAATCGGGTTCGGGGAACGCATGCGGACGGTCCCACTGGGGGCCTCGGTGGGGCTCCCTATGGGGCCACGAAGCGCTGTATTGGGTGGGTGACAATGCCAAGTTGGGTGTGCGGGGGGCGCATGCGGACGGTCCAACTGGGGGCTCCCCAATGGGCCGCGAAGCGCTGTACTGGGTGGGTGATCATGCCGATTTGGATGTGGGGACGCATGTGGGCGGTCCCATTTGGGGGCTCGGCTGGAGCTCCGTATAGGGTCACGAAGCGTTGTATTGGGTGTGTGAAAATGCTAAATTGTGTATGGGGGACGCGCACGGGCGGTCCCACTGGGGGCTTCGGTGGAGCTCCCTATGGGGCCATGAAGCGCTGTACTCGGTGGGTGAAAATACAACATTTCGCGCGGGGAGCGCATGCGGGCGTCCCACTGGGGGTTTCGGTGGGGCTCCCTATGGGGCCACGAAACGTTGTGCTGGGTGGATGACAAGGCCAACTTGGGAGTGAGGGGCGCATGCGGGCGGTCCCACTGGGGGTTTCGGTGGAGCTCCGTATTGGGCCACGAAACGCTGTGCTGGGTGGGTGATCATGCAAAATTGGATGTGGGCGGTCCCATTGGGAGCTTGGTTGGAGCTCCTTATGGGGTCACGAAGCGCTGTACTGGGTGGGTGAAACTGCTAAATTCTGTATGGGGGACGCGTGTGGGCGGTCCCACTGGGGGCTTCGGTGGAGCTCCCTATGAGGCCACACGCTGTACTGGGTGTGTAAAATGACAAATTGGGTGTGGGGGAGGCACTCGGGCGGTCCCAGTTGGGGCTTCGGTGGAGCTCCCTGTGGGGCCACGAAGCGCTGTGTTGGGTGGGTGGGTGACGCACGCGGGCGGCCCCACTGGGGGCTTCGGTGGGGTTCCCAATTGGCCCACGAAGCGTTGTACTGCGATGCGATGCGATGCGATGCGACCAGTGTTGCGGACAGCGTCCGGGCCTATAGCAGACCAGGTGGGTGAGGCCATGGCTTCTAGGATCTGAGGTGTCTGGATTCATGCAATGCGAGACATGTAAAACGTTAGGAGGAGAGGGGGAGGAGGAGGAAACTTATCTTGGCGAGGGACCCAACCATATGCAGTCGTGAGTACCGCAATTGTGAATATCTTCTCGGGTGGCGCTCTCTATGGGGCCACGAACCGTATGAAGGTGTACCGAATTGTGTGGCGTAGCCTCTGCAGGGGCTTCCCTGGGAACCCCGACGGCAGCGCCCGCGCGCCGCGACGCCCATGTCGGCACGCCCCACACGAGGATCGCGCCCGCTTCGAAAATGCCGAGGCACCCCCGTTAGCTTTTCCAAACGAGAACACCTTCGGTGGAGCCTCTATGGGGCCATGAAACGCGTGAGGGGTTTGCCGAAATGAGTGTGCGGGACGCATGTGGGCACACCCACTGGGACATTCAGTGGAGCTCCCCATGGGGCCGCGTAACGTGTGAAGGGTGTGCCGAAATCGGTGTGCGGGACGCATGCGGGCACACCCACTGGGACCTTCGGCGGAGCTCCCTATGGGGCCACGAAGCGTGTGAGGGGTGTGCCGAAATAGGTGTGCGGGACGCATGCGGGCACACCCACTGGGACCTTCGGTGGAACTCCTTATGGGGCCACGAAACGTGTGAGGGGTGTGCCGACATGGGTGTGCGGGACGCATGCGGGCACACCCACTGGGACCTTCGGTGGAGCTCCCTGTGGGGCCACGACACGTGTGAGGGGTGTGCCGACATGGGTGTGCGGGACGCATGCGGGCACACCCACTGGGAGCTTCGGTGGAACTCCTTATGGGGCCACGAGACGCGTGAGGGGTTTGCCGAAATGGGTGTGCGGGACGCATGCGGGCACACCCACTGGGACCTTCGGTAGAGCTCCCTATGGGGCCACGAAACGTGTGAAGAGTGTGCCGAAATGGGTGTGCGGGACGCATGCGGGCACACCCACTGGGACTTTCGGCGGAGCTCCGTATGGGGCCACGAAACGTGTGAGGGGTGTGCCGAAATGGGTGTGCGGGACGCATGCGGGCACACCCACTGGGACCTTCGGTGGAACTCCTTATGGTCCCGACCCGCCCGTTAGGGTCTCCCCTCCGGATTTGCCCGTCTGGTTATGCTACGTGTTTTCTGCTCCTAGCCCCCCGCTTGCTACTCTCTCTCGTGCTCCATCCTCCTCCCTCCCGCTTGCCCCTTCCTTCAATCCGTCCTCTCCTCCCCTGCCTCAGGGGCTGCACGAAATGGGGGTACGAGCGAAGACGAAGAGGGCGGATATCGAGGGCTTGGGATAGACGTGTTGAATGACACGGGAGCAGATGAGAGCGCACAGTCTCAGACAAGGATCGTTGTTGCTGTTGCCTCTGCTGCTATTGCTGTTGATGCTGATGATTCGGAGGGGGGAGGAGCAGCGTGCAACCCACATCACGATAGCACATCTGTTCCTCCTCTCCCTCCTCCTCGCTTCGATGGAGTTGGCCAGGGCGGCCAGATGTCTGCACTCTCCGTCCTTGGCCTCGCACCCCTGCCCCCGCCGTCGCCGTCGCGCCGCCGCCTCGCCCCGGGAGGGGCCGTCCCGCTGGCGCAGCCTGCCCATTCCAGCCGGATGCCACGAGGCCAGAGAGCGCCACCGTCTGGGGGAGTCGGACAGGCAGGTGCCTGACCACCGCCCGAGCTCATGCTCACACATCTGCCCTCGGGCTGCGGCCCTGTCCTGCCTGCCGTGCGCAGCGCGCGCGTGCTCTATCGGCTACTGCTGCGATGTCCGGGCGCATACTCGACCAAAAAACCAGCGGCACCACCCCACCCACGGCCCTCCACGTGGCGCCACGGCACATGGAGGGCAGCAGCGCATGCCACGCAGAAGGCCAAGCCGGAACTCATGGTGTGTGCCAAAGGCCCGTGGGGCCGCCATTGGGTGGGGTGGTGTCGTTTGTCTTCCGGGCCAGGGCGACCGCGGGCAGCGCGCAGTTCGTGCGGCCGCTGAGCCAGATCCGCCTCGTGCACATCGAGCGCGAGCTCGGGGGCGGCGGCGCCCTCGGCAGCGACTCGGCCCCGTGCTTCGCCGTCGCCGTCATGTTCTTCGACAACCGGCGCTGCCGGCTGGACGGCGGCGTCGCCGCCACGGGCTCGGGGCACGGGCCGGAGCAGCTGCGGGAGCACGCCGAGCGGACGCGCAGGGCCGGCTCTCGGCGGCGAGTGGAGGGGGGGAAGAGTGAGAGGGAGGAGGCTTTCTCAGACGGCGGCGGGACTTCTCGGGAGCTCTCGCGCCTTCTGGGAAGCATCCTGTGCCCTCGGGGAAGGCTTCGAGGACCTCTCAGACGGCCGGGGGGGGCTTCCGAGCCTTCCGAGGCCTTCTCCTGCTCACTTCCCCCCGGGGCGCGCCGCCGAGGCTCGGAATTCCGAGGGGCTCGATGTATGCACCACCTCGTTTGGTCGGCCAGGGGGCTGAGGAGGAGGAGGAGGGAGGAGGCAGGAGGGAGGAGGAGGAGGGAGGAGGAGGAGGGAGGAGGGAGGAGGGAGGAGGGAGGAGGGAGGAGGGAGGAGCACGGCGAAGGAGTGCGGCGTACAGTCGCTGCGGCGTCCCCCAGGTGGGGCAGCTGGGGCGTCTGTGCACCGAGCTCCTCTGCCGACCAAGCGACGCGGTGTATACGTTGAGCCCCTCCCAGGAAGGGCCCCCCCGCCATCGCCCACCCCCCGACCCTGACAGATCCTGGCGTCGCCATTGTTTCACAACGAGCGACTTTTCCTTGTTTCGGGCCCCGGGACCACCACGGAGTGATCCGGCTCGACAAAAGCTGGAGGAAAGATGGGGCCCAGGTTTCCTGTCGTGATTTTGCGCGATGTGGGATTTTTTGGCGACGTCAGGTTTTTGGGAGAGGCGGCTTGGAAAGTCCGCCGCCCCCTCTTCCCCAGGTGTCCGGCGTCGCTGAGACAAGCCGTGGCGGCCGCGGTGGTGCCTCGACATGGGCCTCTGGAGGTCCTCTTTGGACCACGCCCGTGGGGAGAGCGATTCGCGATGGTAAAGCATATCGCCTCGTCGAGAGGCGGCCACGCGCAGAGGGGGGGTATGGGGAGGGGGGAAGGCTTGTTTGAAGCACCCCTGCTTCTTAGAAGGCGCGGGCCTTGTCCATGGATGTAGGGCCAGCGCCGTCGAAGAAGCAGCCTCTTCCAAGAAGCCTTCCCCGCTCCCCCTACCCCCATGTGCGCGCCGCCATGGGAGGTCTGGGGACTCCGGATCGACTTACGTAAACGCGGCATCGAGCATGTGGGTTTTGCTTTGTGGGGATGCAGGGGTCCTGAGGGCAGCGGGTCCCGGACCCCGCATGGCCTCCCATGGGGACGGGCCTCTCATCTATACGGCCGTTCTTGGACGGTCCCCAGGCCAGGTAAACGGGCCCAGCCCAGGCAGGCCAAAAACGTGCAAAGACCTCGTGACCCGTTTCCCTCCGGAATTGCCCCCTTGCGTCGAGCAACGGCAGATCAAGGCCCGCTCAAAATTAGTCCCCAGACCCCTCCCAGAGTGCACCCTGACCAGTTTGCCAGCTGCGCCCGTTCGGTGCCCCCGAAGTCTGCAACATTTAGGAGCGAGGGAGCGAGGAGCGTCTCCGTAAGACCTCTTGTCTCCGCCGCGCTTCGCGCACGCGCGAGAGCTCGGGGCTGGGGCTCGTCTCCGGAGGCCTCGTCCACAGATGTGGGGCCCTGTCCACAGAGGCGGGGCCCGCGCCCTCGACGGAGCACCCCTGCCTCCAGCGCGCCGTCCGCCGGCTCGATCCCCCCAGGATACGGGCCTTCCTGGGCCTGCCCCAGGAGGGCGTGCCGATGCTGAACATCAGCAAGGCCTCCAAGCAGGACCAGACTCGAGCGCGCAGGAGGAGGAGGAGGAGGAGGAGGAGGAGGAGGAGGAGGAGGGAGGAGGAGGAGGAGGAGGAGGAGGAGAGGATGGAGGTTTTGGACGACGTGTTCGACCCTTCTCGTGCCTTGGGGTGCTTCTGGACGGGGACCTCTGCAGACGGTACGGATCGTACGGACAGCCCGCCCCCCCCCCCCCCAGGTAGTCCCAGCTGGCCTCCTCAGGCCACCCCAGATAGCCCCAGCTGGCCTCAACAGCCCCTTCGAGTAGCCCAGAGCGGTCTCATCACCTTGACGCCCCCTCTGGCGGCGCCCCTGGGGCGCTCCGCGCCCCAGGGTTCGAGTGTTGAGACCGCACCGGACTACTCGTGGGGGGCTTGTTGAGGCCAGATGGGACTGCGGTGGGGGCGTTGGTTAAGGAATGTGCCCAGGAGGCCGTAGAACCCGGCGGATTCTTTATCTGATAAGGGCTCATCGGGCCAGATGAAAGGGGGGGATTGGGAAAGGGGGGGGTACGAAATCTGCTGTATGCAGCTGGTTTCGGCCCCACCGAGGGTCCCATTCCTCGAGACATGGCCGTCTCCGGCGCCGGGAGGCGCTGGGAAAATCAGCTACGTGAGCTGATTCTCACCCCCCCCTTTGCTATCACCCCCGTTCGCCCAGCCCGAGCTGTGGTGAGATCTGTGGCCAGGCCTCAGTCGGAATTCCACAGGCTTCCGCCGATCCCGGAGGGGCTGTCCGTGCCCAACCAGTGCAAGGATGGAGGCTCTTGGACGTCTTCGGCCCTCTGTCGGGGCCTTTGGGTGCTTTTTTGGTGGAGCGGGGACGTCTGGAGGCCTCGAGGGAGCCGATGTCCGACATCAGCATGCCTCAAGACATGAGCTTGGCATCGCTCGGACGTGTGCATTTCTTCTCGGCGAGAACCATCGAGGAGCATTCTGGACCATCGCGCAAAAAAAAGCAAGGGACCGAAACATGCACGGGAAGTGGACGTCCGAGCGACGGCAAGTGCGGCGGCGCGAGCAATCAGGGCGGCAGTGCTTTTGCCCCTTGCGCGGCATTCCCGCGCCGGCCTGCATGGTCTGATCGGGCTCCGTTCTCGTGCTTGTCTCTCGCCTTTTGCTCTTCCACCGCCGCTCCCTGGCTTCTTGAAGCGCCCATGCGGCCAAGCGTTGGGCCGAGATCTTGCCGAGCTATTGGCCTACGTGTTCCACCAACCGTTGTGGAAACTTTTGCGGAAACACTGGTGGGAAGAGGAGGAGGAGGAGGAGGAGGAGGAGGAGGAGGAGGAGGAGGAGGTGCAAGCCAAGGAGCCCTCTCTTAAGGCCTCCTGGGGGGCTCTTGGGGGCCTCTTTGGGCCTCTCGGGGTCTCTTGGGGGCTTCTCGGCCTTCTGAGACCCTCTTGGGGGTCCCTCTGGGCCGTCGTCTGACCTTCTCTGGGCGCTTTCGGGTCGTCTTGGAGGTCTGTGGGGCCGTCTTGGAGATCTCTCGGGTCGTCTTGAGGCCTTCTTGAACCGTCTCGTGCTCTCTTGAGGGCCTCTTGGGCCGTCATGAGGCTATCTCGGAGGCAACGGGGGCCGTCTTCGGCATGTCGGAAGCCCGAATGGCGAGAACGCGGAACTCAGTGAACAACCAAAAGGAACATCAATGATTTTGGTTTCCAAGAGGTCTTATTGGAGCCATCTCTCTTGGGGCGTCTTGGGGGCCCCTTGGGGCGTCTTGGAGGCCTCTTGGGCCGCCTGGAAGACGTCTTGGGCCGTCTTGGAGTCATCTTGGGCCGACTTGGAGCGCACCTTGGTTTTCTTGGGGCCAGCTTGGCTCTCTTTGATTCGCATTCGGAACATCTTGGAGACCATCCCAGAGGTCAACTTGGGGCCATCTTGGGCGGGAAGACCGATGACAGCGACTTTTTCCGCACGGCCAGCGGGTCAAGACGAAGGCCCCCAGGAAACAATTTAAACGAGTGCAAATCATAGCACGCCGTGCACCCCTGCCTTTGGGAACCGCCCATGTGACCAAATGTTTGGACCATGCGTTTCTCCAGCCGTTGTGAAACCCCTTGGAGGAACACTTGGGAGAGGAAGATCATGAGGAGAAGAGGGAGGAGAAGGAGGACGAGGAGGAGGAGGAGGAGGAGGAGGAGGAGGAGGAGGAGGAGGAGGAGGATAATAAGGAAGAGGAGGCCTCATGAGGTCCTCTTGGGGCCTCCTGGGGGTTTCCTGGGAGCCTCGTAGGGGCCTCTGAAGGGCATCTCGGGGGCCTCTTGGGGACTCTTGGGGCGACCTCCTTGGTTGGAGGGCCAAGCCTACCTGCATCTAGAAGGCCAGCATCTGGGGCCGATGCCATATACCGCTTTCACGTCCCAGCCAAAAGCGTCTACGGACACATTGGATGCCGTGTCGTCGATAGACACTTTCGGGGTGGATACGTCTATGGACAACGTGACCGTTGCGTTCGGCGCGGTGCAAGTTCGGAGAAAAGGATATAACAGTCTGCGGGATGCTCCTGTTCTAGAACGTCCCACATGCTACTCCAACTATTGGGGCTTCTTCGGGGCCTCTTGAGGGGGTCTCTGGGGGCCTCTAGTGGGCTGTTTGGCTTTCGGAGGCCGTCTTAGGGCCCTCTGTGGGCAGTTGTGGGTTTCTCCTCGGGCGCTGTAGTGCCGTCGTGGAGGTCTACGGGGCAATATTGGGGTCGCCTTGGGGGCTTCTTGGGCCGTCTTGGGGTCCTCTTGGGCCATCTTATGGGCCTCTCGGAGGCCTCTTGGGCTGCCTTGGTGGCGATAGTGGGGGGCCGATGGGGCCTTCTTGGAGCGTTGGAGGCCAGAACAGGCCTGCACGCCAAACTCCTTGAGCAATCTAAGTGGCATCAGTGATGTTTGCCGTATGGAGGTCCTCATGAAGCCTTCTTGGGGACTCCTTGAGTTGCTTGGTGGGCATCTCGGGCTGTCTTGGGCCCATATTGACAGTCTTGGAGGCCATCTCGGCCGTCATGGGGGTTATGCGAGGTCCTTCCTGGTGGTCGGCGGGATCGGCCAAGGGCCCTCTGAGAACCGTTCAACACAACAAGCACAATCAACGTCCAGCACGCCGTGCAATTCTGTGGCAGGCACAGGTGCGGCAAATCGAAGACGCCTACGGCGAATCACCGCCGCTCCCTGCCTTTTGGAAACGCCCATGTGGCCGAACGTTACGGCCATCGTTTTAGCTCGGCTAAGCTATGGTACTATGTGTTCCCCCCAGCCGTTGTGGAAACCCTTCGGGGAACATGTGTGGGGAGACAGGTGGAGATCAGGTGGAGGAGGAGGAGGAGGACGACGGTGATGATGAGGAGGAGAAGGAGGAGTAGGAGGAGGAGGAGGAGGAGGAGGAGGAAGAGCAGCAGGTGGAGCAGGAGGAGGAGGGGCATTAGAAGGAGAAGGAGAAGGAGGAGGAGGAGAAGGAGGAGGAGGAGTTAACATCCGCCGCTCTGCGGTTGATCGGGAGTTTCTGTATATATAGAAGAAGGGGCGCGCGCTTCTGGGCGAGAGGGAAACGACCGAGAGAAGAAGGGGCGGCCGCCCCACAGGACCTCTCCATGGTGCCGGAAGCCCATCAGGGCTCCCTCAGGGCCCCTCCCCCAGGGCCGGGGCTCCCTCGCCTGCCCCCTCCCCCTCCTCCTCCTCCTCCTCCTCCTCCTCCTCCTCCTCCTCCTCCTCCTCCTCCTCCTCCTCCTCCTTCGCCCCCGTCGGCATATCCAGGCGTGTTATGCAGTCAGGTCGTCCGTCCGGAAACGGTGCCGGAGGCCGCTCTGGGCTCCTCTGGGCATCCCCCCCGGGGCCCGTTTTGTGAGGATGTCTCAGGCGAGGGCGCCGGTTTGGGATTCGTCACCGGATCCAGCGGATCCAGCGGATCCGTCCGGAAACGGTGCCGGAGGCCGCTCTGGGCTCCTCTGGGCATCCCCCCCGGGGCCCGTTTTGTGAGGATGTCTCAGGCGAGGGCGCCGGTTTGGGATTCGTCGGATCCCGGATCCAGCGGATCCAGCGGATCCGTCCGGAAACGGTGCCGGAGGCCGCTCTGGGCTCCTCTGGGCATCCCCCCCGGGGCCCGTTTTGTGAGGATGTCTCAGGCGAGGGCGCCGGTTTGGGATTCGTCACCGGATCCAGCGGATCCAGCGGATCCGTCCGGAAACGGTGCCGGAGGCCGCTCTGGGCTCCTCTGGGCATCCCCCCCGGGGCCCGTTTTGTGAGGATGTCTCAGGCGAGGGCGCCGGTTTGGGATTCGTCACCGGATCCAGCGGATCCAGCGGATCCGTCCGGAAACGGTGCCGGAGGCCGCTCTGGGCTCCTCTGGGCATCCCCCCCGGGGCCCGTTTTGTGAGGATGTCTCAGGCGAGGGCGCCGGTTTGGGATTCGTCGTCGGATCCAGCGGATCCAGCGGATCCAGCGGATCCGTCCGGAAACGGTGCCGGAGGCCGCTCTGGGCTCCTCTGGGCATCCCCCCCGGGGCCCGTTTTGTGAGGATGTCTCAGGCGAGGGCGCCGGTTTGGGATTCGTCACCGGATCCAGCGGATCCAGCGGATCCGTCCGGAAACGGTGCCGGAGGCCGCTCTGGGCTCCTCTGGGCATCCCCCCCGGGGCCCGTTTTGTGAGGATGTCTCAGGCGAGGGCGCCGGTTTGGGATTCGTCACCGGATCCAGCGGATCCAGCGGATCCGTCCGGAAACGGTGCCGGAGGCCGCTCTGGGCTCCTCTGGGCATCCCCCCCGGGGCCCGTTTTGTGAGGATGTCTCAGGCGAGGGCGCCGGTTTGGGATTCGTCGGATCCCGGATCCAGCGGATCCAGCGGATCCGTCCGGAAACGGTGCCGGAGGCCGCTCTGGGCTCCTCTGGGCATCCCCCCCGGGGCCCGTTTTGTGAGGATGTCTCAGGCGAGGGCGCCGGTTTGGGATTCGTCACCGGATCCAGCGGATCCAGCGGATCCGTCCGGAAACGGTGCCGGAGGCCGCTCTGGGCTCCTCTGGGCATCCCCCCCGGGGCCCGTTTTGTGAGGATGTCTCAGGCGAGGGCGCCGGTTTGGGATTCGTCACCGGATCCAGCGGATCCAGCGGATCCGTCCGGAAACGGTGCCGGAGGCCGCTCTGGGCTCCTCTGGGCATCCCCCCCGGGGCCCGTTTTGTGAGGATGTCTCAGGCGAGGGCGCCGGTTTGGGATTCGTCACCGGATCCAGCGGATCCAGCGGATCCGTCCGGAAACGGTGCCGGAGGCCGCTCTGGGCTCCTCTGGGCATCCCCCCCGGGGCCCGTTTTGTGAGGATGTCTCAGGCGAGGGCGCCGGTTTGGGATTCGTCACCGGATCCAGCGGATCCAGCGGATCCGTCCGGAAACGGTGCCGGAGGCCGCTCTGGGCTATCCCCCCCGGGGCCCGTTTTGTGAGGATGTCTCAGGCGAGGGCGCCGGTTTGGGATTCGTCACCGGATCCAGCGGATCCAGCGGATCCGTCCGGAAACGGTGCCGGAGGCCGCTCTGGGCTCCTCTGGGCATCCCCCCCGGGGCCCGTTTTGTGAGGATGTCTCGGGCGAGGGCGCCGGTTTGGGATTCGTCACCGGATCCAGCGGATCCAGCGGATCCAGCGGATCCAGCGGATCCGTCCGGAAACGGTGCCGGAGGCCGCTCTGGGCTCGTGCTCTTCGCGCCGGGGGTGAGGATGACGTGAGTTCCACAGAAACTCCCTCAAATTAATAGGGGAGTAGGAGGAGAAGAGGGAGGAGGGGGAGGAGGAGGAGGAGGAGGAGGAGGAGGAGGAGGAGGAGGAGGAGGAGGATAAGGAGGAGGAAGTGGAGGAGGAAGCGGAGGATGGTCAGGATGATGACGGTAATGGTGGTTGTGGTGGTGGTGGTGGTGTTGTTGCTGTTGATGCTGATGCTGTTGATGATGACGATGCTGCTGATGCTGAGGTTGCTGCTGATACTGATGATGATGATGGTGGTGGTGATGATGCCATCATCACCACCACCAGCATCATTGATGCTGGTGCTGCTGCTGATGCTGCTGCTGTTGATGATGATGATGATGCTGATTTTGATGATGCTGCTGATGCTGCTGATGATGATGATGCTGATGATGCTGATGACTGTAACTATGATGATGTTGATGCTGGTGATGATGATGCTGGTGCTGCTGCTGATGCTGCTGCTGCTGATGATGATGATGATGATGCTGATTTTGATGATGCTGCTGATGCTGCTGATGATGATGCTGATGATGCTGATGACTGTAACTATGATGATGTTGATGCTGGTGTTGATGATGTCGATGCTGCTGCTGATGATGATGCTGACGACGATCATGCTGATGATGCTGATGATGCTGACGCTGATGCTGATGCTGCTGATGATGATGAGGATGATGATGATGATGATGATGATGCTGATCCTGATGATGCTGCTGATGATGATGGTGATGCTGATGCTGATGCTGATGATGCTGATGCTGATGATGCTGCTGATGATAATAATGATGATGATGATAATGATGATGATGATGCTGATGATGATGATGATGCTGATGCTGATGCTGATGCTGATGCTGATGATGATGATGATGATGATGAGGATGAGGATGAGGGATGAGGATGAGGATGAGGATGAGGATGAGGATGAGGATGAGGATGATGATGATGATGATGATGATGATGATGATGATGATGATGATGATGATGATGATGATGATGATGATGATGATGATGATGATGAGGAGGAGGAGGAGGAGGAGGAGGAGGAGAGGAGGAGGAGGAGGAGGAGGGGGGAAGAACACGATGCCAAGGATGAGAAGGAGGAGGTGGGAGGAGGAGGAGGAGAGGAGGAGAGGAGGAAGAGGAGGAGGAGGAGGAGGAGGAGGAGGAGGAGGAGGCCTTTGGGGGGCCTCTTGGTGCACTCTTGGGGCACTCTGGGGGCCTCCTTGGAGCTTCCTGGGGGCCTGTTGGAGGCCTCTTGAGGGCTTTCTGGGGCTTGTTGGGGGCCTTTGGGGCTCCCTGGGAGGCTTTTTGGCTGCCTGAGGGCGTTCCTAGCCCGTCTGACGCCGTTGGAAGCACGGGGGCCTCTCTGGGCCGATCTTCGTACTTCATCCCTTCTCTTCCTCCTCCCTCCCTTCTCCCTCCTCCTGCGTCCTCCTCCTTCCTCCTCCGTCTTCCCTCCTCCCTGGCGGCCGTCCTTCTTCTTACATCGAAGCGATCGCGGAGCTCTGACTGGACAGGAGCCGGAGGGGCAACACGAGCACCTCGCTCGAGACATTTCCGCAACCTGGCCGCCGACGGGCGAGCGTCATACCTCGTACCCCGTGGCGGCGCCCGCCTGGGGCACCGAAGCCAGCGCCTCGCTCGAGGCATCCCTGTACGATCTGCCCTGAGAGCAGGGGGGGTCCGACACACCAAAGAGGCTGCCCGCCTGAGACCCCCCCCCCCAATCTGGCCGCGAGCGGGCCGATGGCGGCTTCCCCTTGGGGTGTGGAAGCCAGCGCCTCGCCTGAGACATCCTCCAACCTGCTCTGACAGCAGAGGGCCCCGGGCAGACAAGCAGGCACACCGCATGAGACATCCCAACAATCTGCTCCCGAGGAGTCTGGAGGGCCGAAATAAGCAAACCGCCTGAGACATCCCTTCCCATTCTGGACGCGAACGGGCCCGTGCAACCACCCCTGGCGGCGTCCCCTTGGAGTGCTGAAGCTAGCGCCTCGCCTGAGACATCCCCACAATCTGCTCTGACAGCAGAGGAGTCTGGGGGGCCGAAACAGGCAAACCGCTTAAGTCATCTCCATACCGTGGGCGCGACGGGGCCCGTGCAACCACGCCTGGCAGCTCCCCCCTGGGGTGTTGAAGCCAGCGTCTCGTTTGAGACATCCTCACAATCAGCTCTGAAAGCAACGGAGCTTATGAGCCGAAACAGGCACACCGCCTGAAACATCCCCACAACCTGGGCGTGAACGGGCCAGTGCAACCATCCCTGGCGGCTCCTACTTGGGGTGTTGAAGCAGGCGTCTCGCTCGAGACAGCCTCATAATCTGCGAACCTGAGTGCGAATGCGCCCGAGTATGAGTGGGCCTGTGTGTTTGGGTGGAGTCACCGTTCGGGATGCCCACGCGACAAACCCCAGGGGTGCCCGGTAATTCTGGGGATTTCGATGTCCAGGTTTTTTAAATTTTGTCACAAATTTCGATCCACGTTTCAGAGCCGCATGAGCCTCGGGGCGCTCTACTACGCGCTGACGGCGCGGTGGCGGATCTATGAGGAAAAGGGTTGGAGGAGGAGGAGGCGGAGGGGGAGGAGGCGGAGGAGGAGGAGGAGGAGAAGGAGGAGGAGGAGGAGAAGGAGGAAGGGGAGGAGAAGGAGGAGGGGATGGGGGAGGGAAGGAGGAAGAGGAGGAGGATGATGATGATGAGCAGGAGGAGGAGGAGGAGGAGGAGGAGGACTAGGGAGATTATCGGGGAGTAGGACGAGGAGGGAGGACCAGGAGGAGGAGGAGGACCAGCTTAGACCCACGGGTCATCAACGATGTTGGAATAAACCCTCCCCAAAGCTCCCTCTTTATAGGCCCCATACAACGGTTCATTTCCGCTGAGAGAACCGCCTCGCCGGAAGGCAGCCGTTTGAATACCCTGAAGCACTCCAAAACATAGTTCTCGGGATTCCAACGCCACGGATCAACTTGAGTGTTGCGTTTGACGATCCTGATTCGTGCCAAAACGCAATTCCTGGAATTTCAATGCCGCGAATCAACGTATTTGTAGCACCCTCATAATCTTGAACCGTTCCAGAACACCTGGTAGGTTCATCATGGGAATCCGTAATATCTAGCAAATTGTTAAAACGCATCTGCGCGTCGCTAAGGCGAGAGCCACATTTTGAGAAGAAACAGCCCTGAATCCGTGAAACTCTTGTAAGTTGCTCATACGCATGTGCGCGGCGCTGGGGCGAGAGCCACATTTTGAACGACTCCCGCCTTGAACCCGTGAAACCCTTACAACGTTTCAAGCGAATGTGCGCAGCGAGAGGCACATTTTGAAAACGGCTCGCCATGAATCAGTGGAACGCTTGCCTTCTTTAAAACGAATGTGCGCGGCACTAAGGTGAGAACCACAGTTTGAAAGTCACCCGCCTTGAATCCGTGCAACAACTGCAGGTTTTTCAAACGAATGTGCGCGGCGCCAGGGCGAGAGCCACATGTTGAAAATGGCCCGCCCTCAATCCGTGAAGCTCTTGCAAGCGTTTAAGACTAATGTGCGCGGCGCTAAGGCGAGCGCCACCTTTTGAAAACCATCCGCCTTCCGTCTGTGGGATGTTGCCAATGTGTATGTTTCAGGGCCATGAGTGGTGAGGAAGTCTCAGGCGAAACGCCCTGCCCTCCCTAAAACTTGGCCCCCGGGTGCGACAGGGAGAAGTTGGACAAGGAATGGAGGATGGGGGGGAGGAAGAGGAGGCGGTTCCTTGCTTCACTTGTGCCTGCAGCATACCTTGCGTGCTACACTGTTCCATGATTTTTCAGCCGCGAGGCGACTTCCCAAATTCCGCATTGCTTCTGGGCACAGGCCTGCCGCTTCTATCTTCAAGAACGCCACAAGTATGACCTAAGGTTTGTTGACCGTAGAAAGGAGGAGGAAGAGGAGGAGGAGGAGGAAGAGGAAGAGGAGGAGCAGGACGAAAAGGAGGACGAGGAGGAGGAGGACGAGGAGGAGGAGGAGGTGGACGAGGAGGAGGAGGTGGAGGAGGAACAGGGGCCGTGAGGGTCGCCAGCGGGCTCCCTGCAGGAGGAGGACGAGGAGCAGACTCGCTTCCACCTCTCGCGGTGGCTGGCCTGCCAGGGGCTCGCCCCGCGCCTCGACCCCCCGCTGCGGACGCACGACTGGGCCCAGCCGTGTCGTGGTCGTGGTCGCCGTCGCCCCCGTCGTTGGGGTGGTGGTCGCCGTCGTCGTCCTCGTTCTCGTCCTCTCTCCTCTTGTCGTTTTCCTCCTGCTCCTCCTCTTCCTCCTGCTGCTCATCCTGCTCCTCCTCCTCATCCTCCTCATCCTGCCCCTCCCCCCCCCCCTTCCCAGGCTGTCAGCGCGCGCCCATCCAGGAGGAGGGGGAGGCGCACCAGTCGGGACGAGGAGTAGGAGGAGGATCCAGGAGGTGAAGGACCCAGGACGAGGAGGAGGAGGAGACGGACGAGGAGGCGGATCCAGGAGGATGCGGAGCAGCAGGGGAGGAGGTTGAGAAGGGAGGACGAGGAGGCGGAGGAGGAGGGCGGAGGGAGCTGAGGGATCTGAGGGAGCTGAGAGATGGAGGAGGGAGGAGGAGGAGGAAGAGGAGGAGGAAGAGGAAGAGGAGGACGAGGAGGACCATCGCACGGCTTCGGAAAGGGGTTCGACTTCGCTCAGGGCGACTCGAGCGCCTGGGCTGCCTGGACGGCAAACGCATCAATCGGGATCGGAGGCTTGAAGAAGGAGGATGAGGAGGAGGTGGATGTGGAAGTGGAGGAGGAGGGCCTTTCGTGATCCTTGGAACGTCCGTCGCCTCTATTGCGACTCGGGTTTCGCCTTCCTTTTGCACCCTTTTCAATGGGGTAGCACACTTCGCTCATTCGAGCTACCAACGAGGAGGACTATCAAGAACCCAAGACGCCTTCATAGGTCCTTCTACGAAGTTGCTGCCATTGCGTGAAGTACCCCATCGGAAGACGTCTGCTTGATAACCGTTTGCGAGTTCTCGTTTGTGGTATCACAACATTTCGTGACTTCAGCGCCGTGGATCAACGTGACTATTGCGTCCTGACAACCATAAGTCGTACACTAACATTAATTCTGAGACTGCACCACCGCGAAACAACATGACTGTTGCGTCCTTGCAAACCTAAGTCGTACCATAACACCATTCCTGGGATTTTATCCTGAAGCTGGATGCAAGTTTTCAAGACGACCGCGCGCGGCGCATAGGCGAGAACCGCAATTTGAAAACCCTCTGCCTTCCACCCGCGAAACGGTTGCAGACTTCCAAGACGAACGCGCGCGGCGATAACGCGAGAGCCACAGTTTGAAAAGGACCCGCCCTCCATCCGCGAAGCTGTTGCCAATCTCAAGTTTCAGGATCGTAAGTGGTGACGATGCCTCAGGCGGAGCGCCCAGCCCGCCCTACCGACACGTCTTGGGGTGCGGCAGGGAGGAGCTGTTCGTTTATTGGGGCAGAATGGATGGCGGCGGAGGATGGAGGGGTGAGGAGGGAGTTTGAAGAGAGAATTCGAGGAGGGAGAGGCGGGAGTTTGAGGAGGGAGGAGGGAGAGGAGGGAGGAGGGAGAGGAGGGAGGAGGGAGATGAGGGAGGGTTGAGAGGAGGGAGGAGATGAGGGAGGGAGGAGGGAGAAGGGAGAGAAGGGAGGCGCCACAGGCCGAGCAGCCGCGGGGCGTGTCGGCACCCCGGGCTGGGCCGCAGACGCTGTCGCAGAGGTATGGCGCGGGCGTCCCGGGGGGCGGGCCCGTCGCCGATGGTGCGCCCGTCGTGGTCGCCGTCGGCGTCGTTGCCGCCGCGGGCCTCGCGTTCCACATCTTTCGGGGCTCACGAGACGGGGGTCAGTGCAATCGGGGGTCAGTCAGGGCGCTGGACTTTGCAGGGTCCTGCAGGGCCAGGGGCGCACTGACCTGTGCTTGGGTGCAGGATCCCTGCAGGATCCCTGCAGGATCCTGCAGGATCTTTCAGGATCTTGCAGGATCCTGCAAGGCTGCAAGGCCTGACTGCCCCGGGGTGTTTGACGTCATCGTCGTCGTCGTGGTCGTCGTCGTGGTCGTCGTCGTCGTCGTCGTCGTCGTCGTCGTCGTCGTGGTCGTCGTCGTCGTCGTCGTCGTCGTCGTCGTATTCGTCATCGTTGTCGCTGAATCTCAGATACCAAAAAATTGCCAGCTGCCTGCGGCAAACCCTGCCACCGTGCCCGCGCAACAGCGTAGCAGGAAGGATTTTGAATTCTGAACGCTTCCCGTATTCCCATCAGCACATCCAGGAACGATGCCCATGGGAGTTGCCCTTGTCGGGGGAGCGTGGCATTATTTGGAGAGCTCGGGAAGCCTACGAGGGCCAGAGGCTTCTTGGATGCCTCGCGGAGTCTCTTGGGATATCTCTCGGGGTCTCTTGGAGGCCTCTTGGGGCGTCTTGGGGGGCTTCCTGGCAGCTCTTGGGGGCCTCTTGGGGGCCTTTGGGGGCCTCTTGGGACGTCTTGGGGGCCCCTTCGCAGTCTTCAGAGCCTCTGCGTCTTCGTGGGTGCCTCTTGGGGGCTTCTGGTCTCTCTTGGGGGCCGCTTGGTGCGAATCTCTCGGGGGGCCTCTTGGGGGCCTCTGGGGGGCCTCTAGGGGGCCTATTGGGTTGTCTTGGAGCTATCTTGTGGCTTCTTGGGCCATCTTGGGCGGTTTCAAAGAGATAGCCTCAAAATCTTTCAACAACCGAAGGATAATCAATGGACTTTGCCTCCTCGGACTCTCCTGGAAGGCCTCCTGGAGCCCTCTTGGGCCGTGTTGGAGGCTTCTTGGGTTGTCATGATACCGTCTTGGGAGCCTCTTGAGTGGTTTTGGGCCGTCTTGTTGCCATCATGACTGCCTTGGAAGCCGTCTTGGAGGCCATCTTTGCCGTGTGGAGGCCGAGAAGATTACGGGAGAGCAGGTAGCGGTTTCAGAGGGACGTTAGCGGGTAGGGTAGGTGGGTCGGCTTTAGAACGCATTATTCCGACGGTCGGACCCTTGATGGTAATATTTTCAGCTTGCCTTTTGCCCATTCCTCCTTGCCCTGGCGGACACCCTCCTCTTGCCCTCTGCTCTGCCCTCTCCTCCTCTTCCTCATTATATTTATCCTCCTCCTGCTCCTTTTCCTCCTCCTCCGTTCTTCTCCACCTCCTCCTCACCATCACCCTCCCCCTACCCCTTCTCCCCTCATCATCCTCCTCCTGCCGCTTCTCCATGTGCACCTCCCCTTCCCCCTGGTCGGGGTAAGCAAGTTAATTTTCTTCGGCGCCGTCGCCGCCTCGGCCCGCACGCGCGCGTTCGCCGACGGCTAGATCGCGAAGCCTTTGGGGCAATCCCGCGGGCCATGCCTTTGGGACAACCCCGCGGGCCGATGGGGCGCGGGGGCGGGCCGTCGGGACAAGCCCGCGGGCCAGGCCGTTGGGACAACCCCGCGGGCCTCGAGGTGTGCGCGGCCGCGCTCAGGCGGGGGGCCGCGCGAAACCCAGCTGTGATGCGAGCAGCTCCTCCACCTTAGCGCGAAGCCGACCGCAAGCGTGGGGGCCAGCACGAGCGCGAAGGAAAACGCCCGCGGCTCCCACTGCGCCCGCCAAGGGCTGGAGCGCGAGGTCGGCGCCCAACGCGTGGTCCTCCCAGGAGGCCCCACGAGGCTAAATCGTGGGAAGGGCAGCGGTGTCGGTACCTCTTCCTCCCCCGAGCCTCTACCAGCTCGAGGCCCCCTCTCGAGCGGCGGCTGCCAGGGTCGTGTGCGCCGCTTCCCACGGCCCGCGCGCCCCGTGCGGCGGGGCCCGCTGCGCGCGGGCCGACGGAGCGCAGGGTCGTCCGCGTGCGCTTGGAGCGGCGCGAGGCTGAGGGGAGCTGTGGCGCGGGGCAAGCAGCCCGCCCGCGCGGCTGCCGGGACGCCCGCCGCAGATCGGAGCGAGAGCACGGCCGCCGTCGCGGGAGCCTCGATGATCCCCACAATGTGTGCTAACGCCAACGAGGCTGCGCGCATGTGTAGGCCGAGTGGGCTCTTGCTGGGATGGCGGCGTTGGCAGAGTTTGGCCCGGCATCTGATTCCCGACCATTGTTTTTCTGGACGGGGTGCCACTGCCACCTCCTCCCGTGGAGGGTGGAACGTTCGGAGGGGAAAAAATGTTCGCGCCAGCGTGCGCAGGGGCTCTCCGCTATCCGTAAGGGCTTCGCCCTCTGCCGCCGGCCTCCTCTCCATCAAAACTGGACACATCTGAGCTGTTTTGGAATGTTTGGGCGCCGATTTGAAGACATCTGGGAACGCCATGCGAAGACGGCTGGCAATGAACAAAACACGCTGATCTGTTGGAGCTGTTGTCGAAGGGTTCATTGCCTTCTCAGGGCGTGTCCCGCTTCTTGTGTATTGGGCGCCCTATTGGAACAACTGGGGTTGCATGATGTCATCTAGGGATATAGTGGCGCGTGGCGTTATTCTCGAAGACTTGCGGCTGCGGATACAGCGCGGAATTTAGGAGACAGCGGGGGAATCGAAAAGCGCATCCCGAAACATGTTTCAATTAGGAAAAAACTGGTCCTTCCGATCGGGAGAAAGAGTGTCGCTTAAGGGCAGCCTCTTGGGGCTGGGTGCGTAGCTTCGGCAGGGTGAATTTGGTGTAAGTTACAAAGGATGGTGGCGTCGGGGGCGCGAACATGGCGTAACTTATAAGGTAACGGGGTCTCGGAGGCGCGAGCGTGGCGTAATTCACAATGGATCGTGATTGTGGGGGCTTGAACATGGCGTAATTTATAAGGGTCATGGCCGCGGGGACGAGGATGTAATGTAATTTGCCTGGCGTGGCTTCGGGGGAGTGAGTTTATCGCAATTTAGGAAGATCGCGGCTTCGGGGGCGCAAGCTACGGGAGATTTTGGCTTCGGGGTGCAATTTACGAGGGGTCGTGGCTTCGGGGACGCGAGCGTTGTGTAATTTACGAGGGGTCGTGGCTTCGGAGGCGCGAGTGCGGGGTAGTTAATAAGGGACCGACACGATTACAATATTAGAGAGTGGAACCTGGAAGTGGCGCAGTAAGCAGACAGCCCGAGCCGCTCAGGCTGGTGGCTTCCAAGGGGCCGGCGGAAATCGCGCGGTTGGGTTTGTTGTGATGTCTCGCAACGCAGTTTTTTTAGCATGTATGGCCGCGGGTTCGCCGCTAGATTTTGAAAAAACGGTGGGGTGGTCGAAAGACGCTTCGAACACAGCGTCACAGATCGGGCTATTAAGGCTATGGTTGAAAGCTTCGTTGCCGTCTTAGAGCATTTTCCTGGACCTGCGCAGCGGAGGCGCTCTGGTAACGATTGAGGGTTGCTTGGGGGGTATCTTAGGAAATAGTGCAGTTGGGAGCAGGAGTGCCATGTGGGGGTGTCCTTGCGCCGTCTTAAAGACACCTGGGGACATCGTGCGAATGCGGACGGTAATCAGCAAAACACGCTTTGATTCTTGGATTGTGTTCAATCGCTGTGTTGCTTCATTACAGCGTTTCTCGCACGTTGTGCATCAGAAGTTCTTTCGGTACGATTTGGTATTGTTTAAGGTCATCTTTCAGGGGGGTCTTTTCAGGGGGTCTTTTCAGAGCGCCATCCCGCACCAGATTGTCAGAGGGGTCTGCTCCCGACTCGTTTGGGAGCGCTCGAGCAGTCCATTTTGTAGAGCAGGGGAGCTGTTCTCGCGTTAGAAGGCGGCCCCTCGCCGAAGGCTTCTGTTGTGGAGCAGGGGTGACGGCGTCACGTTTCGCTGACGTATACATTAGGAGTCGTGGCCGATGGACACGCGTTCAATTGAGGCCTGAAGAGTTTTCGAAATCGTGGCCTCGGGAGCGCGAATGTTGCGTAATTTACACGGGATCGTGGCCTTCTCAGGCGCGAGTGTGCATTATTTGCATGAGGTCGTGGTTTCTGCGGCGTAAGCATGGGAAATTTACAAGGGCTCATGGCCTCGGGGGCGCGAATGTACGTCATTTACGAGGCATCGTGGCCTTGGGGGCTTCGGGCCCACCGCCAGATTTTCAAGAGACGGCGGTGGTTCCAAAAGCGCACCCCGAACGCATATCCCAATACAGGCATTGTTGTTTTTTTCCTACTCTGCAGAGGGGGGGGGTGCGCTTTTGGGCAGTCTCGGCGAAGTGGATTCGTAGCCTCGGGGGGGCGACTGTAGCGTAATTTGCGAGGGGTCGTGACTTCGGGGGCGCGAATGTGGTGTAATTTACTAGTGATCGTTGCCTCGGGAGCGCGACTGTTGCGTACTTTACGAGGGATCGCGGCTATGGGGGCGCGAACGTAGTGTAATTTACGAGGGATCGTCGTTGCCTCGGGGGCGCGATTGCATGGTAATTTACAACGGATCGTGGCCCTGGGGGCGCGAATGAGGGGTCGTGGCCTCGGAGGCGCGAGTGTTGTGTAATCTACTAGGGATCGTGGCCCCGGGGGCGCGAATGTGGCGTGATTTACGAGAGATCGTGGCCTCGGCGGCGCGAAGGTGACGCAATTGGCTCGGAGTCGCGAGCGTGGTGAAATTTACGAGGCCTCGTGGCCTCGAGGGCGCGAATGCAGCGCCATTTGCGAGGGGTCGTTGCCTCGGAGGCGCGAGTGCTGCGTAACTTACAAGGGATCGTGGCCTCGGGGGCGCGACTGTAGGGTAATTTGCAAGGGGGTCGTGGCCTCGGGGGCGCGAGCGTTGCATAATTTACGTGAGATCGTGGTCTCGAGGTCGCGAATGTGGCGTAATCAACGAGGGATCGTAGCATCGAGTGCGCGAAT